CCCCCCCCCCTCAAGTTATCACGGCCGCCTCTTCCTTCCTAATCTCACAGTAGGATGGGTTGAGCCCCAGATTACCAGAATAGTTTTACCTAAGTACAACAACGATGGGACTCTCGCTGCCCGTTGCCACCATCAACCCCTTCCAGATCATCAGCGCCGAGGAAACAATCATTCCGAAGTTCAGAACCTGGTAATACAGCTGGGGAGGGAGAGGGATTATCACTGGGAACTCGAGACAGTCCTTTGCAAAACACAAAGACCCCCCCTCCGCTTGCAGGGCGCGCTAATTTGGGCACATCTTCAAAGGCAATGCCCCCACCCTGTCAAATGACAAGCCACCAATTTAGAAGTCTTACCGTAGTCAATAGTTCCACTGGGGATTACAAGCAGACAGGATGTATTTTAGTCGATTTCTTAAGTATAGCTAGAAACCAGGTGTGTTGTAGTCCCACCTTAGGCATGAAAGCTGGCTAGGTGACTTTGGTCAATCACCAGGAGACTCGTAGTTCTAGTTCTGCCTTAGGCATGAAAGCTGGCTGGGTGACGCTGGGCCAATCACCAGGAGTCTGGGAGTTCTAGTTCCGCCTTAGCCAGTAAAGTTGGCTAGGTGACTTTGGGTCAATCACCAGGAGACTCCTAGTTCTGCCTTAGGCATGAAAGCTGGCTGGGTGATGTTGGGCCAATGACCAGGAGTCTGGGAGTTCTAGTTCCACCTTAGCCAGTAAAGTCGGCTCGGTGACTTTGGGTCAACCATTAGGAGACACTGAGTTCTAGTCCCGCCATAGATACAAAAACCAGCTGGGTGACTTTGAGCCAGTCCCTCTCCATCAGCCCAAACCACTTCACAGGGTTGCCGTTGTGAAGAAAAGAGGTGGCTGGAGCATTAGACAGGTATGTTCACCGCCTTGAATCCCACATAACGAAGGCAGGCTTAAAGAAAATTTCTTTTGGCAAGATCTGGATCAGGAAGGCAAAAAGCCTTTGGTTTCCGTTATCCGTCTCCTTCCCATTCAGGCTCACCAGCCTGCCTGTTCTTTCTGCTGCGCAATTCAAGCTCCCCAGGGGGTGCGAAAACTTGGTTTTTCAAAATTATAGTGTATATGCATAATTCATTGCTGTTATTTTGATAAAAGATAAGATAACCTTTACTGTCATTTTTTTACTGTGGGCACAATGGCACAGATCAAAAATGAAATTTAGTTGCCTGCTCTCAAAGTGAGCACATACATGACAAACACCTAAACATACTATATACAACTTATGTATAGACCCAAACCCCTACATATACATAACAAATAAATATTAAACGCTGTCCATCTTGAATACATAACAGAAGGAACTTATGTAAGGGGTGTGAGAATATATCAGAAGCGTTCTAGGGCTGCGGGATATGGAAAAGGTTGGGAGCTGCTGTATAACAACATAAGCCAAGGCGAGGGACATATTTAACCGTTGTGTGAGGCCGGTGTGCTGTGCAATTAGCTCACAGGGTGTAATAAGTTGGGGATTTGTAGTCACTGTGAGTTGTTTTGGGGGGGCATGAAGGGAGACTCAGCCAATCTCACTGTATACATGTTAGTTATACTTTGATAATAAAGGTTCATTCATTCATTCATTTTACCCCAAAACGCAATACACACACACAGAGTATAGCAAAGACAGAATTATCAGCCTCCTCCATTGGTTTCCTTTGGCCCCTTTGCGTCTTCCTAGGACGTTGCACGGGACCTGGACCTTCCACAATCCTGGACCCACGGGCACACCTGCTGGGGAGGATGGGATCTGTAGTGCAGCGCTGCTGGAAGGAGGCCGGGTTGTGCTTTGCAGCAGAATGGGGGGGGGGAGAGAGTAGTCCCCGCTGGGACACGTGACCTACCCACCATGCACACACCGGTTTTACAAACCCAACTGGTAACACACACACACACAGGTGCGCGCGCGTGGGGACCGACCCCCGACCCCTTTTGCCCCCACCCGGCGCCCCCGCGAACCTGCCGCTTATTCATCCGCCGAACATCGTCCAGAAAGTCCAAGGACAGCATCCCGGCGGGCGAGGAGGCTGCGGCCGGGAGACCCGACCGTCTCACACTTCCGCTTCCGGCCGCCGACATCAATATCCGGCCAAGCTGGTGGCGGGGGGGGGGGAAGGAGGGAAACATAGAGGTCCTAGACCAGCCCGAACGAGCCCTGTTAAGAGGACGGGGGAGGACGTCACTTCCGGTTCTGCCCGAGCAGTAGAGCGTGGGCGGAGGAAAGAGCGGCTTTTTAGTAAACAGGCGTGATGCGAAGTCTTCCGGGTTTTTGTTTTTTGCCTCCAATCTGAAAATCAGATTTTAGATGAAAGGCAGTTTCTTTTTTCTCGCTCCAGATTTCTAGGCGCACCTGTCGTGCCTTGTTGCAATGCACTAAAATTCCCCTGCAAATCCTTAAGGAATCCCGTACAAAAGTCTTAAATTAAAGGCGACAATGTCTTTTGAACAATAGATTTGAGTCTTGGAGACTTTCAAGAAGAGACTTCTTAGCTAGAACTGGAAAGCCGTCTGCCATTGCCTCTGACATTTGTCTGTCTGTCTGTCTATCTAATCAATCTATGTATGTATGTATGTATGTATGTATGTATGTATGTATGTATGTATGTATGTATGTATCTATCTATCTATCTATCTATCTATCTATCTATCTATCTATCTATCTATCTATCTATCTATCTATCGTTGTGTTTCTCAACTTTGGGAACTTTTTAAGAATCATGGACTAAAATTCCCAGAATTCCCCAGCCACCTATGATATGTGCCTAATTCTAGAGCTGGTGGAAATTTGATTGGCACACAATTTTGCTGTATTTTGAAGTGAGCAACCGAGAAAAGGTGTACTGTTAATTGTTAGAAGGGTTTCTTTTTTAAATGCTTTCTTTGACTTAATGCTTTTAAGGGAAAGAATGAGTTCCTCTCCTCCCTCCAAATACAGACCTGCTCTTGTGCGGTATGGTTTTCCTGCAATCTTTGCAAGATGAAGGCGAAAGGAGGGGCAGCATCTTAGACCCTTATCTAACGTCAACAAAGAGCTAACTTTTTAGCAATAAATCATTTAAGTGCCTGACAAAACCGTAGTTGTTAAAAGATGACAAGTCTTGCAGTTATTTCTCCCCCCTCTCCATCTTCATGCTTCAGCAGTATTTATATCCCTATGCAAATATAATCACTTGATGGATCACCAAGTAGTTCTCTCTTGCTTGTTTTTCCACAACACACCACAAGATCACGTGAAGTATTAATACCGCTTTATAATGCTTTGGTAAAGCCACACTTGGAATACTGCATCCAGTTTTGGTCGCCACAATGTAAAAAAGATGTTGAGACACTTTTGAAAGAGTGCACAGAAGAGCAACAAAGATGATCAGGGGACTGGAAGCTAAAACATATAAGGAACGGTTGCTGGAATTGGGTATGTCTAGTTCAGGGGTAGTCAACGTTGGCTCTTTTATGACTCGTGGACTTCAACTCCCAGAATTCCTGAGCCAGCATGGCTGGCTCAGGAATTCTGGGAGTTGAAGTCCACGAGTCATAAAAGAGCCAAGGTTGACTATCCCTGGTCTAGTTTAATGAAGAGAAGGACGAGGGGGGACATTATAGCAGTGTTCCAAAATCTCAGGGGCTGCCCCAAAGAAGAGGGAGTCAAGCTCTCCAAAGCACCTGAAGGCAGGACAAGAAGCAACGGATGGAAACTAGTCAAGGAGAGAAGCAACCTAGAACTAAGGAGAAACTACCTGACAGTCAGAACAATTAATCAGTGGAATAACTTGCCTCCAGAAGTTGTGAATGCCCCAACACTGGAATTTTTTGAGAAGAGATTGGACAACCATTTGTCTGAAATGGTATAGGGTTTCCTGCCTGAGGGTTGGACTAGACGACCTCCAAGGTCCCTTCCAACTCTGTTATTGTATTGCATTGTATGTACACATTATGTCTGCTCAAGGGTTCACACAACACAATCAGCTAAGATATAATTGATTCATTTGTGGTTGACCGTCATATGAATGCAGTGGGCAGAAGGTACCCTACTTCAGGGAAGATTATCTTCCAGTGGTGTTCTTGTGAAAAAGGTACGGGTAGTTCTCAACTTATAATAATAATAATAAAGTTGGAAGGGACTTTGGAGGTCATCTAGTCCAACTCCCTGCTCAGGCAGGAAACCCTAAACTAGGAGCCCAAAATTTCTGTTGCCCAGCGAGACAAGCTAAAAGAGTTTTGCCCCATTTCACAGCCTTTCTTGTCACAGTTCTGAAGTGAATCACTGCAGTTGTTAAGTTAGGAACATGGCTGTGAAGTGAATCTGGCACGGCTTGTAAGAAGGTTCCAAAGACCCCGGGACACGGCAACCCTCCTGAGTTGGTTGCAAGCATCTGAATTTTGATCACGTGACCACAGGGATGCTGCAACGGTCGTACGTGTGAAAAATGGTCACAAGTCATTTCTTTCAAGTGCCGTTGTAACTTGGAAGGGTCACTAAATGAAGCGTTGTAAGTCGAGGACTACCTGTATTCTGAATTACAGCCTCAGGCAGCGAGATCGAGGTAAACTACTTGGGGCTCCGTTATGAATTTCCAGCATCGTGTCTGAAGGATACCGATGGTGGAGTTGGGAGAGCTGCAAGATCAGAAAAGGGAAGTTGGGAGCCAACGCATTGTTAGATGGTTTTATTTGAAATACTTTGAAGTAAACATTATAGCAAGGCACAGATGCCACTGCAGATTAAATAGATATGTCATGGCTTGAGAGGAATGTCCTCCCCCGCCCCCTGCTATTGTTACTATAGCTAGGCTACCTTGTAAAACATTCCCTAGACTAAAATGTACACGGTATCAAAAAATACAAAGGGTTTTTATCAAAACACGTCCGGACGAGAAAGTGAGCAATTCAAATGGGCAACATGATAAATAGGGTATGTTTTTTTTTTCCTTTTTTTTTTAAATTATTTATAGTAAACAATGAGCAGGGTTCCGACTTGAAACATAAAAACCGTATTTAAAAAAAGAAGAAGAAGAAGAAGCAAATATTATACGAAGCGTGAGGAAAAAGCACATGGGGCGGGGCGGGGTGGAAGCCACAGGTGGGAGAAATGAGTCAATGGGAGGAAAGCAATCTCCAATCGATGGGGTGGGGTGGGGACAACCGAGAGGAAAAAAACTGGAAAGGGGTGAGGAGGGAAAGGATGTGCTTTGGAAGAGCAGGTGAAGGTGAGGGAGGACCAGACTGATCCGCCCCCTCCTCATGGAATAAACCTCATTAGCCCCAAATTCTTGCCTTTTCTGAACTGACAAACAGAGGGGTGAGCAAGTATGGCGACTTTTAAGACTTGTGGACTTCAACTCCCAGAATTCCTGAGCTCAGGAATTCTGGGAGTTGAAGTCCACAGATCCTAAAGTCACTGTAGTCGCCCACCCCTGAGTAGGAGAGACTTCCAGCTTCCTTTGCCCTGTAATTTTTGCATCACAACTGAAAAAAATCTTCTGGGATCATACTAGAAGGAAAATAAAACCCAGCCAATTCTCCCAGCCCTCAATACTTTTCATCCAGGACAGGAAGCAGCTCTGATCGCTGATAGTCAAGGGGGTGATCAATGCTGCTCCCCAGAGGAAGGGGGTACTAACCATGGAAGAGATTGCCCAAAGATGGAGAAGTGCAAACCTCAACATTTTTCCCCGTCTTATTCTTTCTTAACTACAGATGTTCAATATTTACTTGGGCAGGGTTTTAAACACCCGTGCCTCCAACTTTTATGGAAAGTCCTAAGTGAGAGAGAGAGAGAGAGAGAGAGAGAGAGAAGGGTTGTCTTGGGGTCCACTGCCATTGTGTGATCACTACTTCCAGGCGTGCGTGTACGTGTGCAAGGAGAGGGCAAATGCTCAAGCAGATATGCAACTGATTTTTCACCTGCCACAAAGATTAAGCAGAGCCTAATGTAATGTTTTCTCAAAAACAAAAGAAAAAACCCTCCACCTGCCACTGAGTAGTGCTGGAAATGTGTCTTCTAGGGAAAAAAAGCAAGCTTCAAAAATCACGTCCACGGAGTGTCCGAAAGGTAATTTTTCAGGCATGGTGGATTTTTGTTTTGAAAGGAAAGAACCGTTGGTGACAGCGGGTGGAGGCAGGAGAGGTTTCCTGGAATCCTGGGCCTAAGGGAGTGGGAGAAAGGACTGTGTTCTTAATTAAAAATCTGAGCTAATAGGCCAAAGTCTTGGGCAGCAGGTGAACGCTTCGTTTTTGCTGGGGGAAACCTGGCACGATTACCCTACATGCCCGTCTTTCTCAACCTCGGCTGCTTTAAGAACTGTGGACTGCAATTCCAAGAATTCCCCAACCAGCACAGAATTCTGGGAGAAGAAGCCCACTCCTCTTTAAACGGCCACGGTTGAGAAAGACTGTTCTAATTTCTCTCTCTCTCTCTCTCTTCCTTCCTGTTCCGTTCCTCATTTAGTGCTGGGGAGACGGTGTGGCAGCTGGTGCTTTGTTAATTTCCCTTCCTAATCAAAATGAACTGAACCCTATGCCCATCCCATCAAATCAACAAGCTCCTCCCTCCCTCCCTCCTTCAAGCAAGGTTTCTGGGGCAGCTGAGCGCACTCTTAAATAGAGGGAGACTTTGTGGGTTTGTTCTGAGAACTCGTTCTCTCTTTGCCGCAGGGCGAGGAGTCGCGCTCCGGGTCTCTGTTCTTGGAAGGGCCTCCTTCCGCCCTGCTGTGGCTGGTCTCGCCCTGGGCTTCCCCCAGTCCATTCTCTCTCGTCTCCATTTCCGGAACTTCTTTTGCACTCTCTTGTTCTGGCTGTTCGTCGTCGTCGTCGTCCTCCTCCTCCTCTTCGTCTTCCTCCGGATCTTTGACTTTATGAACGATGAAGAGGTGCCTGTTCAGAGACAGGTGCGACGTGTAACACAAGCCGCAGAGCAGGCACTGGTAAGTGGAACTGTCTGACTTGTGTCGAGGTATGTGTTCCAGAAATTCAGTCTCGGTGGCTGTCGCAAAGCTACACTTCGCACATTTCCAGCGGGCTGCCTTCAGTTTCTTTGCTGGCGGGTCATCTGATCCGGATGCGGTTGCTTCCATCGGACCCAGACCGTCGGCGGTTACTCTCTTTGGAGATTTTGTCTGCAAAACAAAACCGGGCGCTTATTGTACCCATCTGTGATGCCCGCTGCAGCCCGCCATCCCAACGATACCCACTAAAGCTATAAGAACCACATCTCTTCCTCCTGCTCCTCATGCGCCACTACCAAGCTGTCCGCGCCACCCTAAACCACAATGAGTAACGAGCAGAATTACAGGTCCCCAGGTTATCCTATCTGTGCTTGCTCAATGAGTATCTTTACACCAGAGTTCCCCAATCTTTTGAGTACCAGGGACCAGTTCCGTGGAGAGAGGTTTTTCCGCGGATCAGAGGGTGCGTGGTTTTGTGTGCTGCCTGCATCCCGCGGATGGCGCTTTGCTTGTTTGTGCGGACCGGTTGCTGGCATGCCGCGGCCCGGTACTGGTCCACAAACTGGGGGTTGGGGACCCCTGCTTTACACTGTAATGCAGAGGTCCACAACCCCCCCTGGGCCGCGGACTGTTACCGGTCCACGGCCTGTTTGGGAAACGGGCTGTGCAAGTGGCGGGCAAGCATGCAAAGCTTCACTTCCACATGCGCAGGAGCTAGGCGGCACGTGTGAAACCATCTCCTGCCCCCTACCACTGCTGCACACCGGTCCGTGGAGGCAGAAAAGTTGGGGACCGCTACTCTTACTGCATTCATCCACAAGTCAGACAGGTGGCAAGGAGACAATAAAAAGAGGGGGCTTTGTACACAATTTTGTTATGGGTGCAACAGACCCTGCTTTTTTGATTGACCCCTATTTGCACTCCCTGTTGAATGGAAAACAACTTTCAACGGTTTTCTCAATTCTGAGGACACTAATCAGAATACAGCGACCTTTTGGGTGGGAAGGAACTTAGTTATAATTAATTGAATGATCGCCCCCAGCACTTTGCTAGGAAGAGAACCAATGTCAAACGCAATAGAATGCCTTAAGGATTAATTTTTCAGGACTGTGATTCTGCGGGCTATATTTCCTCATATCACTGGTTATCACTTGTCAATCTCGGAGGGTTTTCATGTAATTAAAAGAAAGATGGAACGCAGGTACTCTTGAAATAAAATTGCATCCTTTATGCTGGTCAGACAGCCCTACTTGAGATGTAACAATCTTTAGTTATTTTGGCTCTGCCTGGAACCAAATACCTTGGCACGTTCCACTAAGGGATGGGTTTTTTTTAAGGCTAGAGTTAAATTGCACCCAAACAATTGCAGAAACAGGTGAATTTTCATTACAGTACAAGAAATATTTTCTGATAGGGCTAGCACTGTCTATAGAGCCACAAGATAAAGTAGCTCTAGATCTCATGTAAAGGCCTGTGGTCCTCCTGGAAAGTAGGAAAGTAGGGCCTCTCCTGGAATGAATGCAGTTCCAAACGAGAGGGAACACCCAGCATAGAGAACACGAGCTACCCCGCCTCTATATTTTAACGAAAGCATTGCAGATTACTTTTGTCAAGTCTTTGGATATCTGGGAAAGATCTGGATTTTTGATGCCGTGCATGAGGCTCATGTGACTCTCCAGCATGGATGGCTGAGGAAATGTCTGGATTTCATCTGTGCAATACCTACAAAATAGCCAACAAAAGAAATGCCGTCAACACGACTGGATTTCTCAGTCCCACCCCCTGCTCCACATCTCTTCTTTTCGCTTTGCCCACCCCAATTTTCACAGAAGCCCAGAGCTGGAAGGAACCTGGGAGCCGTTAAGTCCATTATGCTGATCCAGAAAGGAGTTCAAACGCAGAGCACCGGTGACTGACAGCTATCCGGCCTCTGCATGAAGACAGCAGGAGAGTCCACTATCTTTCTGGGGATTTGGCCCTGAGGTTGAACTCCTTTCGCAGTTAGGAAGATTTTTTCTAAACCAAGGCTTTTCAACCAGTGATACGGGTACCACCTGTGCTACATTGGCACCTGGCAGGTGGTACGCGACCATCCTAGAAAAGTGGTAGCGGGGAAGGGGAATGAGCTGAACCGGTGGCAGCACCGCACAAGCCTGAGCGAGAGAGGGCTGGAGCTGCAGGGCTGTCAGGGCTGAGCGGAAGCGCCAGGATCAGCGCTTCTTCGGGGCTGTCAGGGCTCAGTGGAAGTGCCAGGATCAGTGCCAGGCTCCAGCCGGAGCTCGGCGCTGATCCTGGCGCTTCTGCTGAGCCAAGAAGAAGCGCCGATCAGCTGGAATGTTGCAGCATCTCCAGGGTCTTGTCATTTACATTCAGATGCTTGGCAACTGATTCATATTTATGATGGTCACAGTGTCCCAGGGTCATGTGAAGTGACCAAAACCTGCTGCAACCACCCAGCAGATGGGGGGAATAAAAACCAAACACCCCCCCACCCCACCCCCGCTGCCAATCCTCAACAGAAAGGCTCACAACAATGAAAACCTCGGACAGGAGGAAGAGCGCCGCCGGGTGGGCAGGCAGGTCTCTTGCTCAGCTGTGCCTTGAGGGGCACTTTTTTCAGTGCCATTGTAACTTCGAACAGTCACTAAGCGAACTGTTGTAAGTTGAGGACTACCTGCACTTCATCACTTTTTTCCTTTTTTTTGTTCATCAAGGTTTTGACACCTTGCTAGGCGACTGGTGGCACTCGGATATTGCCATATCCTAAAAGTGGTACAATGGGTGAAAAGGTTGAAAAGCCCTGTTCTAAACAACCGGTTGCAATCTGCCTCCCCATTACTTCGGTCCCTTATAAAGGTAAAGGCATCCTTGAACAGTCGTGTCCAATTCTAAGGTGTGGTGCTCCTCTCTTGTTTCTTAGCTGAGGGAACCAGCATTGTCCGAAGAAATTTTCTGTGGTTATAGGGCCGGAATGGCTATACATCAAAGGGGCACGGAATATTGTTGCTTTCCCACCAAAGTGGTACCTATTTATCTACTCACATTTGCATGTTTTTGAACTAGCTAGGTGGGCAGGAGCTGAGGCAAGGAATGGGCGCTCACCCCATCGCGCGGCGCTCGGTTCTCAAACCTGGCCTGTCCGCCTTCCAGCTGACAAGCTCAGCGTCTTTAACCACTGAGCCACTGTGCCCCCTTTTCAGTCCATTATTCCACATCCTAAATTCTCAGAGTGTTTTTCTACCTCTTAGCAACTTTTTTTTTTTTTTAAGATTTATGGATTTCCCTTCCCAGCACACGTCTTAAAGTTGTTGAGACTGAGACCACACAGAACAGGACTTGATCCTCTCTTCTTTCAGTCTCTCTTCGTAAGACTCAACAGAAGGAAGGATTCAAAACTGATTCCCAAATGCTGGAAAGGGAAACTGCAGAAATTCTTAATTCTGGAATGGCAGTGTGAATCGCAAGACTACAGGGTTATCCTTTTTTAGGGTGTGACGCCCTTGTCTCAATCCTAGACAGGGAAAGTACTTTTACACCACACTGTTTTGCTGCAAGGAAACAAATCTTAAGACTAAGCCAGTATGTGGACCCCGACTTTGCATCTATTCTGAATCTTCTGAATGCGTCCTTGAAGAACATCTGTACAACTTGGGCAGCAGACCAGCTTGTGAGCTAAGTTTCATTTGTGAGAAAGTCTCGGAGCACAAATGTTGCGATTTCACAGCAAAAGCTTTCAGGACCGAGGCCTGTTTCTAAGATTTACATTTAGAGATAAATTTTTAACCACTAGTATCTTGGAAGCTAGCCTCAAATTCCAGGGATACCAAAGGTGACCTTGAATCACGCTTCAGAGCTGATAAGCACAGCTTCTTTTCCAGAGGGAAATCAAATTTTGCCCTGGGAAGGTTCATGTTTTGTCTGGGGTCTTGGTGGGAGAGACAATTTTACATTTGTTAACAACATGTGGCTGGAGGCCACAGACAGGAGGCCTTTAAAATCACATGATCAGATATGAGCCAAGGCATGTTCTGTTCACATGCACCAAGTAAAGCAACATTTAGAACTTCCCATCTGTAATTCAGTTAAAATAACATTTTAAAATGCTTTCTACAGGAATATTAGCAGGGATGACCTCTAACCTGAAACAGCTTCCACAGACATAACTTTGCCCTGTTTTTTCTAGGTTAGTCAGTTGTCAGTGAAGCAGGTTTAAATGATGTATTATTGGTATGGCTTTAACTCCCGCAAAGAATCCCCATTGTCAGACTGAGTAACCTGAATGAAATCCCACTAGGAAATAGAAAAGGAAATATACAGAAATACAAAGAAACCCACTGTGGGCAGTGACAGTTTGATGTGGAAGAGCCTTTCTTAAACTGGAATCTTCTGTAGCCAAGATAGGTTTTCTAAGACGGGATTCAGATAGTCTTACTTCTCATTTGAAAGGGTAAATTAAGGGATCACTAAAACCACAAAACGGGATCAGGGATGGAAAGCAGTTTTTACTGCAAAGAGAACAACTTTTTGATATATAGAAATAATTGCCAGAAAACACCCTGTATTAGAGGAGCTGTTTTCTGTTAAGTAATTAAGATATACTAATGTATGTATGTATGTATGTATGTATGTATGTATGTATGTATGTATGTATGTATGTATACAAACCATTAATTGAAGTGCCACCTGCTTCCTGGAAATTTGCTTCCCTTGCGATTAATTTGAATGGAAAGATGCAGCCTTTGTTATTTTATTTTTTTCTGAAACAGTGAGTGCTTAAATCTAAAACTGCAAATGTTTCACTTGCAATAGGTTCTGAAATTAATAGCAATAGCACTTGGACTTATATACCGCTTCACAGTGCTTTACAGCCCTCTCTAAGCAGTTTTACAGAGTCAGCCTCTTGCCCCCAACAATCTGGGCCCTCATTTTACCGACCTTGGAAGGATGGAAGGCTGAGTCGACCTTGAGCCGGTCAGGATCGAACTGCTGGCAGTGGGCAGAGTCAGCCTTCAGGATTGCATTCTAACCGCTGCGCCACCAGGGCTCATTAAATTAACCCGAAATAACTGCAGCTTCTGTCCCTCTTGTTGAAACTGGGCGAGCGCACACGGAACTCAAAAGAGTTCCTCCAGAGATAGCTAGAATGCTTCCATTATTATGAAAACACTGCAATATTATCACAGGAACTTCTGGAAATGAAAAACGGTCCAAGATAAATAGCAATTGATCCCTCGGTCGAACAGGCAGGACCAGATATGATCCCGTGACGCCGTGCCCGGGAGTGTGCAAGAAGCATTTCTTCCCTCCCAGACTCACCAGCAAGGGTACAGCTTCTTTGCTGTGTCGTGATTATTGCGAACGTGTCTGTGCAGACTGTTGGAGGCACCAAAGGATCTGTCACACTGCCGGCAGGGAAATCTTTTCATGTTCTGCAGGAGGATGCAGGGAAGAGTTAGTTCCCAAAAGGACAGGGATGATGAACTCCATTTTGTTTCCATTTGGGCAAAAGGCAGGAAGCCCTCCACTTAACCACCATTCAAAGTTACAACAGCCCCCTCCCCCCCCCCAAAAGCTACGTATAATCCAATTTGAAGTTACGATGGGTCGCATGACCAAATTTTGGATGCTCGGCAACCGCCCTGCGTTTATATCCATTTCCAGCGTCCTAGAATCATGTGACCACAATTTGGTGAAGGGTTTTGCCGGGAAATCGGTGTTTCCTTCCGGGGTTTGGACCAAAAATTTTTTTTAAAAAAAAGCCCCATAGCAAACAGTACATTTGCTTTGCAGCCAGTGCGTTTATTTTATGACCACTGCAAAAATGGTAAGAAAATGAGGCACAGTCACATGGTGAAATGCTTAATGACTAATCGTGACTTACAACGATAATTGCAGGACTAATTGTAGTTCTTAAATCGAGGACTGCCTGCCGTGATTGGAGGGGTAACAGGAGTCCTTGGTGCTCTCTTGAACTGGTTTTCTTGCAGACCTTTAATTACCCAACTAGGTAACATCATCAGTGCTAGTGGGAAGGGATAACAGCCAACTTTCCCTCTGCGTAAATTGTTTTTGCAGAGGGCTTCTTGAGAGAAAAGGACAACATGTATTTATCGCTTCCCACCTCGTAACTAGAACAGGAGGGGGTGCGGTGTCCACTAGCCTCCTCGTGGTGCACCCCGGACAATGTGACCTGGTCATGGCTAACTAGTCTGCCCATTCTGATTGCTGGACCTCACAAGAATCTCCCAGCAAGAAGCAGCAGCGTGAGTACCGAAAATAAAAGCAACGGTGAATGCTGTATTCTGTTATGTCCTAAATCAGGGGCAGGCAACCTTGGCTCTTTTATGACTCGTGGACTTCAACTCCCAGAATTCCTGAGCCAGCCATGCTGAGGGGAAAGGGAGAGGTTTCCAAGCTGAGCCACGCTGGCTCAGGAATTCTGGGAGTCGAAGTCCACGGGGCTTAAAGTGGCTGAGGTTGAAAAACACTGGTGTACATCGTTGATCTATTCTAGGCTAAATGGGGAGAGGGTTGGTAAATGGGGCAGCCTTGCTTTTTTCAACCCCTTCCTCATAAATGCCCCCACGTCATTTTGGGGTAGAAAGCCAGAGACATCCCCCCAACACACACGAAAAAACAAAATGGAGCACAAGGTAATCCAAAAACAGCAGTCTAACTTAGCCTGTTTGGATCCCAGGGAATCCGTGTAGGCCAGGGGTAGGCAACCTTGGCTCTTTTATGACTCGTGGACTTCAACTCCCAGAATTCCTGAGCCAGCCTGGCTCAGCTTGGAAACCTCTCCCTTTCCCCTCAGCATGGCTGGCTCAGGAATTCTGGGAGTTGAAGTCCACCAGTCATAAAAGAGCCAAGGTTGCCTACCCCTAATCTAAACTCATCAAATCATGATCTAGATCATGGAGTGGGGAACCTTGGCTCTTTTATGACTCATGGACTTCAACTCCCAGAATTCCTGAGCCAGCATGGCTCAGCTTGGAAACCTCTCCCTTTCCCCTCAGCATGGCTGGCTCAGGAATTCTGGGAGTTGAAGTCCATCAGTCATAAAAGAGCCAAGGTTGCCTACCCCTGCCCTAAATCAAAAAAGTAGAAGAAAGGGGGAAGAATAAAAGCAAGCATTCTTCTTCTCGTTCCCGTTTCCACGGCATTGCTAGGAAGTGAAAAGAGGTCACTGCCCTGAACGATGGGAAGAGGGTCCAGGTGCTCCGACGCTTTAGGCAGGTGGGTTACCTTTCCATGGCTTTTCCTCATGTGGGAGACGTAAGTTTCACGATCGGGGATCCACTGCGAGCACACCCGGCAAGTCCAACTGCAGGTTTTGGACTTTGTCTTGGAGTCTGGGCTCATGCCTTTGGTAGGCAAAGAGGTCGGCTGAGAAGTCCCGTTGACGATGGCCAGGTCCTTGGATGTGGGGAGGACGGGGCTGCTCGTGGTGGCCGTCTCAACCTTCTGCCGAGCGCTGGTGAGATCCTCAGGGTTTTCCGGGACTCCGTGGATGCTCTAGGGAAAGTCAAGGAATCAAGCTCAGCTAGCAAGCAGACCCATACGGAAAGGGCAGAGCGTGGAACGGCTCGCCCAGCTGATGAGAATGCCAGTGGGGTTTTTTTTATTTCTAGATCTCCCATCTAGAAATCTCCCATCTAGATCTCCCATCTCGACCAGATTACCAACCAGAGCTGGGTGTTATGTTCATATTAGGCATACATTGTGCCAACGGTCCTGGTTTCTGGGCCATTTCTGGACCCGGTTCAAAATTCTGGATGACCTTTTAAATCAGAGGTCTGCAAACTCAGCAACTTTAAAGACCCGTGGCCTTCAACTCTGCTGGCTGAGGAATTCTGGGAATTGAAGTCCACAAGTCTTAAAGTTGGCCAGTTTGGAGACACCCCCCTGCCCCACCCCAAATTCAAGATCAAGATCACAAATGCAGAGAACTGGAGGGCATTTGGGGCTTGACGTTATATCAGGCGAGGTTTATAAATTGCAGGCTGCTGAAACAGAGTTGCTAAACAAACAAACAAACAAACAAACAAAGTGACTTTAGGACACTGTCCTCGTTATACTAAGTTGTAATGCATTTGGTCTGGACTAGCAGGCTGTGTGAACCCAGCCACTGTGCTCTGCAATTTGTAGGCTTAGCTTGTCCTTTAAATCCGGTCAATTGTGGTTTATGGCTAAATTACAGTCAAGCAACCTAAATCTTAAAAGAGACAAATATGAGGAGAGGCTGCTGATGAGGGATCCACCAGATGTGGGAAAATAAAAGGCAGCGAACGTGTTTCCAGGGGTGAGCTTCAAATGTGGAAGGCGGGACAAGGTCTGCAGAGGTGCGGGAGCGGTCTTGCCCTACCCACCTTGACATGTTGCATTAACTGCAGCTTCTGCATGTACACCAGTTGGCAGTGGGGGCACTTGAACACGCCCACCATCAGCCGGTTGGCATTTTGTTGGAAGTGCTCTTGCAGAAGTCTCTTCTTGTTGAAGACCGTCTCACAGGAGCATTTGTAGATCACCCTAGAACGGTTGAGTGTGGAAAAAAAATGAGAACTTACTCCTTCATGAAGGGATGAATCCGGAAAAGCAAATTTTTTTAAAAAAAGCCAACAGAACTGTAATATAACTTTCCAGGTCTAGAGAGACAGAGAGAGAGAGACACAGAGAGAGAGAGAGAGACAGAGAGAGACAGAGAGAGAGAGACGAGACAGAGAGACAGAGAGAGACACACAGAGAGACAGACAGAGAGACAGAGAGAGAGAGAGACAGAGACAGAGAGAGATAGAGAGAGAGACACAGAGAGACAGACAGAGACAGACAGAGAGAGAGAGACAGAGAGAGACAGAGATAGAGAGAGACAGACAGACAGAGAGACAGAGACAGACAGAGAGAAACGGAGAGAGAGAGAGAGAGAGAGAGAGAGAGAGAGAGAGAGAGAGAGAGAGAGAGAGAGAGAGAGAGAGAGAGAGAGAGAGAGAGAGAGAAACTGGGCCAGGGACACTCCTGAAAACATGGCTCAGTTGAGGAGGCAGCCTTTGTCAAAGACCCAGACAGTAACAGCACTTAGACTTATATACCGCTTCACAGTGCTTTTACAGCCCCCTCTAAGTGGTTTATAGAGCCAGCATATAGCCCCCCCCAACAATCTGGGTCTTCGTTTTATCGACCTTGGAAGGATGGAAGGCTGAGTCGACCTTGAGCTGGTCAGGATCGAACTGCTGGCAGCCGGCAGAGTCAGCCTGCAATGCTGCCTTCTAACTACTGCAGCACCAGGGCTCAGATGAAGAAGGCAAAGACACTCCAGAACTGCAATGATGTAAAAACAAGCCCCTGGACCCCAACAGATCACTTACTGAGATGTCTTGTGAGGCTCTGCAGGATGCTGACTGGTAATGTGAGCGGTGGTGCTGTCTGCAGACTTGAAGGCCATGGGGCAGAACGAACACTTGTGGAAGACTTCACAGTGCTTCTCGTGAATGTGGACTTTCAGCATAGCCTGGGACATGAAAACCACCCCACAGTGGCTGCACCTGAGGAAAAGGAAAGGAACACACTCAGATGGAAGGCACAAAATCTGCCAGCGTCATTTCTATAGAAGGTCAGGAAATGGGAACAAATCCGCGTCTGCTTTACTGAATCACCCATGAAGGAGTCGTGAAGGTTCATAGTTGTAGGGATAGCATCCTAGATAGCTTGCTGCAGACAATGGCTACACATCAGAGGTGGAGATATGGCCAGGGAATGAAAAAAAGGAGAGCCACCCCACCATATCAATTCTCTGAAGCCCACGGCAGCCACTGTGAAAATATTAATCTGCGTTAAGCCTTGCTCCCTCTTCTCTGCTGACCATTCCTGCACCAGACGAAAGAGCCTTAATTTGCCAGAAATGAGGAACTGTGAGGACGTTGTTCACTGGCGGCAACGTCAGGCTGCTGAGAAAGTCAGCGGAATGAAAAATATATACAAAAGTCCCTTTTGACAGGTGTTAAGGCTGGCAAAAATCACCTGTTGCAGATTACTTGTGATCAGCTAAAAAAAATAAATAATTAAAGACGATCAACATCGCTTCTCCCCTACAAAAACAGGAATGAATCCTTAAGCGGGACTCTTGCAATCTGCCCCAAAAGCTCAGTCGTTTGCGGAGCTTTTTCTAAAAAGCCAACTTTAATAATAATAATAATAATAAAAGTTGGAAGGGACCTTGGAGGTCATCGAGTCCCACCCCCTGCTCAGGCAGGAACCCTACACCATTTCAAACAAATGGCTGTCCAGTCTCTTCTTAAAAACTTCCAGTGTTGGAGCATTCACCGCTCTTGAGGCAGGTTGTTCCATTGGTTAATTGTTCTAACTGTCAGGAAGTTTCTCCTTAGTTCTAGGTTGCTTCTCTCCTTGATTAGTTTCCATCTGTTGCTTCTTGTCCTGCCTTCAGGCGCTTTGGAGAATAGCTTGACTCCCTCTTCTTTGGGGCAGCCCCTGAGATATTGGAGCACTGCTATCCTGTCCCCCCTCGTCCTTCTCTTCATTAAACTAGACATACCCAATTCCAGCAACCGTTCCTTGTATGTTTTAGCCTCCAGTCCCCTGATCTTCTTCGTTGCTCTTCTCTGCACTCTTTCTAGAGTCTCAGAATGCGGGCCTAGAATGCATGTCTGCAAAGGGGCCTTCAAAGCTCCAGGAAGGGGGGGGAGAAACGAGGCCGTTCTCCCCCCAGTTTGCTCTTTTTAAATGCATAAAACAGCGACTTGCTTCCCCCCCCCCCTTCCACAAATTTAGCACTGACCTGTAACCGACTTTGCGGGAGTAATGCAGGCAGTTCTCTTTGACGTGAGTTTGGAAGTAGGCTGACCGGCATATGGCCCCGCACTCAGGGCAGCAGTAGGGAGATTTGTGAGCGTGGATTCTTTGATGAGCACAATAGCTGCACTTGTTCGGCAACAGCATCTGACACACTTGACACGTCTAGGAGAGAGGAAATAGAGAGGCATCTTGATTTGCACAGCTGGCTGGGGAATTCTGGGAGTTGAAGTCCACGTGGCTTAAAGTCGCCAACGGAGGAGAAACTGTCCTAGAGGGAGACCCCTGGGTCTTATTCAACTACAGGTAGTCCTTGACTTACAACAGTTCGTTTAGTGTCCATTCAAAGTCACAACAGCACTGAAACAAGTGACTTACAACTGTTTTTCACATGACTGCTTGATTAACCAGATCTTACCAAAGCAGGGCACTAATCAAGTCACCTTTCCAGTCCTTGCCATCTGAGATATCAAGAGCCACCAAGAATGGGATAGAGTCCTCAACTTATAACAGTTCATTTAGTGTCCGTTCGAAGTCACAACAGCACTGAAACGAGTGACTTACAACTGTTTTTCACATGACTGTTGCAGTCGAGAAACTGGCCTAGAGGGAGACTTCTTGTCTTGTTCAACTACAGGTCGTCCTTGACTTACAACAGTTCGTTTAGTGTCCATTCGAACGGCACTGAAAAAAAGGGACCTAGGACCGTTTTTCATACTTACGGCCGTCGCGGCATCCCCGCGCAGTCGCGTGTGATCAAAATTCCAACCCTCGGCAGCTGACTCGTATTTATGACGGTTGCAGTGTCCCCATGGGTCATCCGATCCCCTTTAGGGAACTTCTAACAAGCAAAGTCAATAATGGGGAAGCCAGATTCACTTAACGACGGTGTGACTAACTAAAGAACTGGGGCGATTCGCTTAACGACGGTGGCAAGAAAGGTTGCCAAATGGGGCATGTAACAAATGTCTCGCTGAGCAACAGAAATGTGGGGCTCCCTTGTGGTCGTTAAGTCGAGGACTACCTACCTGTATTCCCAGTAAGCGAGAGTGGTAGCTCTCCAACAGCAGGCCCTGGCTGGCTGGCTGGCTGAGCGGTGCCCTTTTAGCCTCCTTCTACATCAGTGGTTCTCAACCTTTTTAATGCCACAACCCCCAACCAATGGTAAGTCGAGGACTAAACCGGTCATAAGTCGAGGACTAAACTGGTCGTAAGTCGAGGACTACCCAACCGGTCGTAAGTCGAGGACTTTCCCTGCCCGGGAGCGCCGCGCATGCGTGGTTCCGCCCCTTGCGCCGGCCGAGGCGTAGCTGGCAAGTGGCAGAGACGGAGCAGGCCGACCACCAGCTGGCCCAGCCCAAGGGAGGTAAGGCACCCGCCGGAAAAGGGGAAAAAATGGCGGACAGCCTTGCTTGGCGACCCCTGTGAAATGGTCGATCGACCCCAAATGGGGTCGCGACCCATAGGTTGAAAACCACTGTTCTACATGAAGGCGGGCGATGCTTGAAAAAGCTCTTGGTTTGACCAAAAAGAGACGACAAAAGACACACCACCCAAATCCTGCGCTGCCTGCAGATGGTCTGCTGCAGATAAGACTCAGAAAAAATAAAACTTCTAACTGGCAGTTTTTGTCCCCAAACCGCACTAAAAAGTCTGTCCAGCTTGGAGCGGTAGATGAGAACTCCAATTTATTAGGGGAAAGTTTCCCCTTCTCTGAGCAAATGCCAAAGCTGCCCGTATATTTATGCCCCTCGAGAGAGCAAACACACTTCTTCCCTATCGGTTCAATCAGGTGTTTAATTTTAACCTTGATAACAGGGCAAAAAGGAAAAGGCATGACAATGAAAGGCCAAATACAAAGAAAGCAATCCTGCCAGCCGGGAGCTCAGGGCAGAATAATCAGCCGGAGAATTATCTGCTGAAATTACCCTTTCATTGACATTGTTGTAAATTGATATTTCAATTGACTGTCTGCCTAAACAGCCTGCAGAGTAAGAGTGCAGTTATATAATATCCATGTAGCCTGGGGAACATTAATAACGTATTATTATTATTATTATTATTATTATTATTATTATTATTATTATTATTATTATTATTATTATTATTATTATTATTATTATTATTATTATTATTATTATTATTATTATTATGGATCATCGCACAGTCAGCCAGATGTTCAGACTGGATTTGGCATTCTGTCTACCTATCGAGTCCTTACCAAGGACCTGGGATAGGCAGATGTGGATGTTTGATGGTATTACAGATGTCGTCGCAGGATGGAAGCAGTACCTAGTAAGGCCGCCTTTTGCAATTGACTAATGGCAAATTTGTCAATGCCGATGATGGTGCCCAAGTTATTTTGGGATTGCACCCAAGGTGCCTATTACTATTGGTACTACCTTTGCTTGCTTTTGCCACAGTCTTTCTATTTCTATTTGTAGGTCTTTGTATTTTGTGATCTTCTCCAGTTCTTTCTCGTCTATTCTGCTGTCTCCAGCCTCTGCCACGTCCACTATCCAGACTTTTTTGGTCTTTCTTATCGACAATTGTTAAGTCTGGGGTGTTATGTTGCAAGTGCTTGTCTGTTTGAATTCTGAAGTCCCATATTATTATTATTATTATTATTATTATTATTATTATTATTATTATTATTATTATTATTACTACTACATCATCATCATCATCATCATCATCATCATCATTATTATTTTGTTCAGAGAAAAATCAACTTAACCCCCAATCCCGAATTCTGCAATACTCTCTAGTACCTTTCTATTTTCTTTTTGCTACCATATCACTGTTTTGTTTTGCTTTTTAAAGAAATCCCAGAAGACTTAATTCTTTCTTGTACTTTGGCAATAATCTTATGATTATTTACGTGTCTCATATCCTTTGCCCACCAAAGCCGGCTGATAAAGGCAGGATGAAACCCTCCCCAAATAAAAGTCGCATAAAGCCTTCCCCAGCCTAGACAAACAAAAAGAAAGCCACAGGCTAAAACTGGCTTGGTTAAAACCTAACCAAAAAAATAAATAAATGCAGCCGGACGCAAGAAACCTTCCTTAAAGCCAGTTCGAAATGAGTGGCTGAAGCCGTTCCATCTCCGCTCTTTTTCGTTTGCGAGGCTTCGAGCAGATTGTTAAATTTAAGGCTTCATTTTGCCCTTTGTATTTATTTCTCGTGGTGATTTTTATTGCAAGGTCCCTGACAGCTGCTGTTAGGAAGGCAAATGCACACACTGTGCGGCGCATGAATTAAATCCAGGGGATTTGCATGCAGCACCCATTTATCCTCAATTTTCTAAGTTTCAGAACAAATGCAAAGGGCCTTCCAAATTGCACGAAGGCGGCTCGCAAGCACGGCCACCAAATGGCAGGTCTTCAGACGGGAAAGACCTGTTCGCTACCGGTCCTGGGGTAGCAAAGATTCTGGGTTATTGTTATTTTTGCCAAAGTGCAAAGGACATTTAAGTCTCCTTACTCCATAGACAAACAACCACGCTGAGCCACTGAATATCATCCAGCTACCTGTCACAATACAGGTAATCCTCGACATGAGCACAATTGAACGCAACATTTCCAAAGCTAAGGACTTTGTTAAGAGCGTTTCGCCCCATTTTACGAGCGTTCTTGCCACAGCTGGTAAGTGAATCGCTGTGTTTGTTAAGTTGTTCAGTGGTCTGGCTTCCCTATTGACTTTCCTTGTCGGAAAGTCACACAAGGGGATCACGAGATCCCGGGACACTGCAGCCGTCATAAGTATGAGTCAGTTGTCATCAAGCATATGAACGTACGTCACCTGGCCGTGGAGATGCTGCAACAGTCGTGTGAAAAATAGTCCTAAGTCACTTTTTTCCCCAGCACTGTTGTAACTTTGCACAGCCACTAAATGAACTGTTGTTAAGTCGAGGATTGGCAGTAAAACGACACCATTTAAAACTTGTCTCTGCACAAACAGAAGTGTCACCCATGAATGCTACAGCTCCCCATTCTTCATCAGATGAGATATGAAAGGCGTTTGGACTGAAGTAGAGGCAGAGAGAACAGGAAAAAACGACAACGAAGGAGTGAAACAGCTTTCAAGGCTACAGCTTCTAAGCATCTGGAGCTGGAACTTGGAGCTTCCCAGATGTTTGAGCTTCACAGGAGGGGAGAAAGACAAAAGGCAGATGTTCAGCTGAGGATGTAACATGTAGTGCTATTTCGACATCCCGTCTGCATTTTCGCTTAATAAATGTCAGACTTGGGGAACAAACAAGCCTATTCCTAACTGTTCCTAACGGTTTAAATGAAGATCTATGAAGACCCTTTTAGTACTGTCCATGGGGTTTTCATAGATGGGGACTGCAGCCAAGAAATTAAAAGACGCTTGCTCCTGGGGAGGAAAGCTATGGCAAATCTAGACAGCCTACTAAAAAGCAGAGACATCACCCTGCCAACAAAAGTGCGTATAGTCAAGGCCATGGCTTTCCCAGTTGCAATGTATGGCTGTGAATGTTGGACCACAAGAAAGGCTGAGTGCCAAAGAATGGAGGCCTTTGAACTCTGGTGCTGGAGAAGACTCCTGCGAGTCCCCTGGACTGCAAGGCGATCCAACCGATCAGTCCTAGAGGAGATCAACCCCGACTGCTCTTTAGAAGGCCAGATCCTGAAGTTGAAACTCAAGTACTTTGACCACCTAATGAGAAGGAAGGACTCCCTGGAGAAGGGCCTAATGCTGGGAAAGATTGAGGGCAAGAGAAGAAGGGGATGACAGAGAATGAGGTGGCTGGATGGAGTCACTGAAGCAGTAGGTGTGAGCTTAAATGGACTCCAGAAGATGGTAGAGGACAGGAAGACCTGGAGGAACGTTGTCCATGGGGTCGCGATGGGTCGGACACGACTTCGCAACTAACAACAACAACATGAAGACCCTCCCTTAATCTTAAAAAGAAATCGTTCATGGACAGACAGATTTCATGCACAGGTATCCCAGCTGAATGTGCGTGAAGCACTGAAGCAGCTTCACTCCATTAGGAGTGCTCCCTGATCAGTGTCTTACAGACAGTCCTCGACTCACGACCATAATGTAGCTAAGTGAGACATTTGATCAAGGAGGTTTTGCCCCATTTTACGACTTTTCCTCCCACAGTTGGGAACTGAATCACGGCAGCTGTTAAATTAATAACCCGCTTGTTAAAATGAATCTTGGCTTCCGCGTTGACTTTGCTTGTCAGAAGGTCGCCAAAGGGGATCGCGTAACCCCCGGGGACGCTGCGACCGTCATAAATACGAGTCAATTGCCAAGCGTCTGAATTTTGATCACGTGACCATGGGGATGCTGCAACGGTGGCTAAGTGTGAAAAAATGGTCCCTTTTTTCAGTGACGTTGTAACTGAAAATGAACTAAGTGAACTGTCGTCAATCGAGGACCACCTGTATTTGTTCCCTAGGAGGATCCACGGCTTGGATCCAGTCTCCAACAGGGTTGCAAGAGGTTGGCCCATGCTATTTCCTCCCACTAGGCCTGGCTCTCCTGCCAAATTTGCTCAGCTGAGCACCTGTCAGTACAGCTGCAGGGAGGTCTCCAGCCTTGTGGTCTCCCTGCTGAAGTCATTCCCTGGAAATTTACACACGTGGGTGTACACGATCGCTGGCTCACAAACACCTGCTCCCTCTCAATGGATCTCTCAGAAGTAATTGTTAAAGGAGAGGGAGCTTCAGGCAAGAGGGAGCTCCTGAAATTAAGGAGAAATTCCTTGACAATCACTAATCAATGGAAAAGCTTGCCTCCCAGAGTTGTGGGTGCTCCATTGCTGGAAGTTTTCAAAAAAGATTGGAAAATCACTTGTTCAAGGTGGTGTGAGGCCGCTTGCCTGGGGCAAGGGGTTGGACTAGAAGACCTTTGAGGTCCCTTCCAATCCTAGGATTCTAATATGTTAAAACTATCAACATAGTGACGTAAACTATACTTGCTTTCAAATGATCCACGTTTGGCTGTTCAACGCTTTTGAGTTGAGTGACTGCACATGTTCACAATCAACTCAAAACCGAAGCGCACCACTCGATCATCCCACATTGCTGGAATGTGTGTTAGTTTTGTGTATCAGCCACCGATTCAGGGTGGATTATCAACATCCTCACTAAGAGAGTCTTCGGTGAGGCTGTCCCACAGTGCAGATGGACAGGCTTGCCCACAAGGAACGTAAACCCTTCCAACTGCCCACCATCCAGTCAGAGCTGAAGAAGCTTCTTGGACGAGAAGCGAAAGGTCTTCAAAGGAAAAACAAGACATTCCAGCTGCCTCTTGGGGAAAAAAAAACCCTTTGGGACATATCCAAGGTACACATTAGACCACTCCGTCTAGTTTTGGTTACTAGATTGTACACAAACTAGAGATTCTGGCTTTTTCCTCTCCAAAGACAGAAGCCAAGAACAAACCGTGGAGGTGTGGGTCTTATGACAACACACGGGTTGGTAGTTTAGGTTGTCTGGCTTAGTTAGCTCTGCTCACTGAAACACAGTAGTGTGTATCCAAGCACTGTTTTTCAGAAGCAAGTCAAAACTGGGAAGAAAATTGGTTTACTGTTCCATAGAAAGGCAGTTACTACACGCAGGATTTGGACTTGTTCCCTAACAGCCACTTGAACGTAACACTTATTTTGTCTTACTGGGGGTTTTAATCTTATTTATACAAATCGTGAAGCATCACAATACGGACTCTTGCCTCTTCCTGTAAACGATGGCGTTCTTGAGGCTGATTAGCCTCCAGCAAGACTACAATTACAACACCGAATTGTCTCCACAGAAGCCTACACAGCTAGAAAAAGAAGTTGCAGGCTAGCCCGGCACATTTGCACAGTTAATCGAAGGTCAGGTTGTACAAAGAGGTAACTTTCCACATAGTACAAAGAGAGGGAAACTCAGCACGAACAGGAAATTGGTCAAAACCATCGGAACCGTCACCTGAAGACTTTGCTGAAAGGAAGCAACAAATTCAAAGGGGCCCAGGGCTCAGAACAACCACACAACTGAAAACTAAAAGGTGGAGAGGGCTGTTGGTTCCTTTCATGTCAACTGCAGCTCTTGGGGCCTTAACTAGGAGAGCTGCACGTTTGCCCATAACCGTCAGAGCACCCACACCTTCCATTGTTGGTGAACACTACTATCTATGGATTGTGCTTTTTATCTCCCAAATACACACTGAGAAGAGACTCTGAAAAGCTCCCACGCAAAACTCAACGGGAATAGGAGGAACTGCCACGCTGCTGTTTTCTAGAACCAGTGGAATTATGTAACAAACAGTTGCACTAAATACCCTGAAAACCAAATTTAGATCCATAGATACACTAGATCACACCTGCAAAATTCATCTACTTTTCAATAAAGGGCACATGTTTTTTTACCCCTCCTGGCTTAATATAGATGGTCCTCGAGTCACAAGAGTTCCTTTAGTGACTGTTCAAAGTTACAATGGCACTGAAAAAGGGGGCTTAGGATCCTTTCTCACCCTTCGGACCGCTGCAGCACCCCCGTGGTCACGTGAACAAGAATTGGGAGGCTTGGCAACCGACTCGTATTTATGACAGTTGCAGTCTTACCCAGGGTCACGTGATGCGCTTTTGCGACCTGCTGACAAGCGAAGTCAAGGGGAGAAGCCGGCTTCACTTAACAACCGGGTTCCTGACTTAACAACTGCCGTGATTCGCTTAAGAACCGTGGCAAGAAAGGTCGTAAAATGGGGCAAAACTCACTTAACGTCCATCTCACTTAGCAACGGAAACTTTGGGCTCGACTGTGCTCCTGCCTGTGTGCGCTGGAGGTTCTTTCCCACTGATAAGAACCCCAAAGGGGGTGGGGGAATTAACCCAAGAGGTCCAAAAGTGACTTACCAGGCCCTCGTTATCTTCCGAGGTCCTCTGATAATGTGCTGCTAGGGCAATATAGTCCAAGGCCTGTTTATTACATTCAAAACACTTTAATCCATAACGAATAAGTCTCAAGGGGTCTGTGTACAGAGGCAGGGCCGGCTGGACGCCGCTCGGACTGCCCGCCCCGCCTCCTGGAGCAGCGCAGGGCTTCTGGGGCAGAGAGGGCAACCGGGCGGTCGGCGGGCTTGAAGACGCTGACGAGCTGGTGGGGGACGGCGAGAACATTTGGTCAGCAGAAATGGGCTTCATGAAGAGCTGCGAGCACTGCATGATGAAGCCTTTGCTCTTGTGATCCCGCGCGTGCTTGAGCAGGCTGCACTTGTTAAAGAAGAGCAGCGTGGCTGAACACTGAGTGCACATGACCTCGATGTGCACACTCCGCCGACTGTAATGTTGCGTCAGGCTTTTTTCTAAGGCAAAGGAATCCCCGCATTCCAGGCAACAATACCCAGCGGCCGGGACGTGAATACTGCTCTCCAGGGGAGGGCTGAGGTTGGGCGTATAGATTGGCACAGGGTTGGCGCCATGCAACACTTTGTTGAATGCCTCCACCACGAGCGGGGCGGTCTTCTTCACCTGCTGCACCAGCGGCACGGTCACCTGGCTCAGGGGGGCCTGGCTGCGCCGCTGCACGGATGACCTGGCCGCCACCGAAGCAGCAACGCTGTGGGGCACCAGGTTGAGATTGGCCAGGTGCACGGCCTTGGGGAGGAGGCTGGCGGGGTTGCAGAGCGGGGCCACGATGCCCGACGGCTGCTTCTTGCTCAATGGCTGCCCCGCCAGGCCGACTTTCGTCGTCCCACTGTTGGCCAAGAGTGACGCACCGGGGATGCCGCTTAGGGGAATGTCCGAAATCAAAGGGTTGATTTGGGGGCTGGCTAAATTTGGTTCCGGGGGGCTTGCTTTTGGAAAATCCTTGCCCGCCTCGGCTTCCAGGGCAGAGGCCGCTTCTGGAGAAGGGAAGGATTCCAGCATTGAGCCGTCAGCAGGCGAATCGTGAGGAGATTTGCCCAGCTCGTCTGCCTCGGGCAAGATTCTCGTCACCATCCTTTTAATTTCCCCAGAAGAGGTTTTGATGGTCTTGATCCGGACTTTGGGAATGGCCGGCGGGGAGCCGGTGGCCATCGAAGGAGATCCTTTGCCGCTGCTGTCGCTGCACACGCTCCGGGGAGATTCGGGCTGTTTGCTGGCCTTTCTCACCATTTCCAGAGGGCTTCTGGGGCTCTTTGGCGACTTGGGCATTTTGGGACTCCCCTTAACGCCATCCTTAAAGGAGGCGGGAGGCTCTCTCGTCACGTTCCCCTGATCCTCCTTGGAGATCCCCGCAACCTTTTTGGCCTGGAGCGCTACCAGGGCAGCGACGCAAGAGGAAAGCTTGGAGTGAGTGGGCTTGAGACGCTGGCGAGGTGGGACCGAGGAAGAGAAGGTCACCTCGGGCACAGAACCTTTACCGTCCCCCAGGTTATTGCCGTGGAAGTTGCCAAGAGGCAGCCCTTCCCCAAAGGAACCATGTGTGTCCGTGAGGTCTTTGCCGGGCCCGTCACACTTCTCTGGACTCTTGTCACGTTCTCCCTTGGTGGTGACGTCTGCCCTGTTCTCCTGAAGCCCGTGGATGTCAATCTTTGGGTCTCTTTTACAATATTGATCAAACATACTCAGCTCCGGTTCGGGCAGTTTCTTACTTAAGAGATCTAGCAGCGATGGACCAGTGGATATAAACCTACTAAATTCCGGCTCCGGCAAGGTCCTACTGAGCAAATCTAACACGGACGACCCCGATGGAATATACATGGGATGGGGTGGGAAATAAGGAGTTTGGGCGTGTTTAGGTTTGTCTACAATACTGTTTTCTTTGAGGACGTCTTCGGGCTCCGGGCTGGAGATGGGACTGAACTGACTAAAGTTTGGTAAAGGCTCGGGTTTGGCCTGTTCCAACTTCTCTGGGTAGTTCCTCAAGCCATCCCCGTTGATGAAAGCCGAATCGAATTTCCCGTAGCTGTGAGTCTCCAGGGGTAGATCCGAGCCACGGAATCCGTTGTGCAACAGGCCCGGCCCGAGGTGACTGCCATCCTTTTCCGACTCGAATGACTCCTGGCGACAGGTGTTCTTCACAATGACGCTCACGACCGGAACGTCGGAGGCCGGGGCAGCGTGGGACAAAGAGGCGTTTTCGTCGATGCCGATCCCGGTCTGCTTGAGGTGGCTGTCGTTCTCCTCGCCGGCTGTCTGGATGGATTCCTTGCCGTCAAGGCTGGTTGGGTCAGGAATGTCGAACGCAGCCAGGAGGTCGTCGAAGTCTGGAGTTTTCATGTCCCCCATGATGAAAACTGCCAATCAAAAAAAAAAAAAAAAGTCCGTCAGAAGCGAGACGGGGAATGTACATTTCCTACAAATACAAGTCATCCTCGTCTTACAACCATTTATTAAGGGTCCTTTCGCAGTTATAACGACACTGAAAAAAGTGAGTTATGGCTGTTGTTTTTTTACACTTACGACCGTTGTAGTATCCTTGTGGTCATGTGATCAAAATGTGGACCCTTGGCAACTGGCTCATATTTATGACGGTGGCAGTGTCCCAGTGTGTGTGACGGGATCCCCATTTGTGACCTTCTGACAAGCAAAGCCAATGGGGGAAGCTGGATTCACTTAAACAACAGAGTGGCTAATTTAACAACTGCTGCATTTTTACTTTATAACTAAGGCAAGAAAGTTCGTAAAATGGGGCAAAACTCATTTAACTCACTCACTTGACAACTGTTGCTTAGCAGCAGAAATTTGGGGCTCAATTGCGGCCGTAAGTTGAGGATTACCTGTATAGCATCTTAGGCTCCATGCCCATTTGCACTATTCAGGGCGCGGATTAACCACCAAGTGGCCTCAATAACTCTCAGAAAGAATAGTAACGACCAGAGGACTGCAAGGAATATAAATCCTTCCATCCTCCTCCATTCAGTCGGAACTGAAGAAGCTTCTTGGATGAGAAGCGAAACGTCTTCAAGGGAAAACAAAGTCCAGTTGCCTTTTGAAAAAGCACTTTTGGTAAAGAGTCTTGGGATTGAAAGGGACCCAGATGGATACTAGGGAGGCAAGAGCTGCATTATCAGCTCTCATATTTTACCAAAATTGTTCCCTACCTGATACCTTCCAGATACGCTGGCTTTCAATCCCTATAACTGCTAGCTGGCGGGTCTATGAGCATCAAAGTCCTGTTTGGGGAGAATTGCTCCCACACGTCAGGTTGTTTTCAGGAAAACTAACTGCCTCTATCTTGTAGCTGAAGAATGGAGATGATAAAGCACCAACTGTTAACTACTCCCCATATCCTGCAGGCCTATCATGTAGTTTTATTTGTTGTTGAACTAGCAGGCACATTAAAATCTGCTTCATTAGAGGCCGCCCGATTCCAGCTTACTAGCTTGAACTCGGCCACAATAAATTGTTTTATTGTTTTATTTTTCAGCCTAGACAACTTTAAGACGGGTGGCCTTCAACTCCCCAGCCAGCATGAGGCATTAGAAGAGAGGTGTCCAACCAGCTCAACTTTAAGACCTGTGAGACCTGTGGAATACTGGGAGTTGAAGTCCACATGTCTTAGTTGCCACGATAGGACAGCCTTGCATGAGAAGATGCCAGGCCTGTTCCAGTAGTCTCTTGCCTATTTAAACCTCTTCTCTGCCCCCATCAAGTGAAAAGAGGCACCCACATTTCTTTCCTTTCCTATACTGAAAATGACACAGCAGGAGAATCATCTGAGAAGGATGGGAAATCATAAGGTGACCTCTCTCCACATTCCCTAGCACAGTGGTGGCGAACCTATGGCACAGGTGCCAGAGGCGGCACTCAGAGCCCTCTCTGTGGGCACGCGCGCTGTCGCCCCAGTCCTAGGCCTTCAGCTGGGTTTTGTAAAACCTTTTCACTTTAGGCCTCTGCCCGTCGTGTACAAAAAAAAAAAGGTTCAATCAATCAGTCAATTTCAACTTCTCGCGGGGGAAAAAAGATCTTGCAAAGTTGGAATTGATTGATTGAACTTTTTAGTCCCACCCAGTCTGCTGTTATCACCGCAGCCACGCCCACCCAATGGGCCACACCCACCCAATGGACCACACCTACCCAATGGGCCATACCCACCCGGCACCTGGATTTTGGGTTGCAGTTTGGGCACTTGGTCTCTAAAAGGTTCGCCATCACTGCCCTAGCAAGTTCCTCAAGCATCGCTTTTTCAGTGCCGACACAAACGTGACTGGGAAGATGTGAGCAGCAGAGGCTGACACTGGGACTCTCCCACTGAAGGTAGATTGCTGCATTGTAAGTCCTTGACTTACAACAGTTCGTTCAGTGGCCATTCAAAGTTACAATGCCACTGAAAAAAGTGACTTCACGTTTACCATCGTTGCAGCATCCCCGTGGCCAAGTGATCAAAATCCAGCCGCTTGGCAACTGACTCCTATGTACGACGGTCGGTCGCAGTGCCCGGGGGTTTCACGTGATCCCCTTTTGTGGTCCTCTGACCGGCAAAGTCAAGGGGGGGGAAGCCAGGTTCATTTAACCGCTGCCGTGATTGATTGACTTAACAAGCGTGGCAAGGAAAGTCATAAAATGGGGCAAAAGCTACTTCCATCGTGGAGAGAGGAGCTGAAGGACACAAAGTCCTCGGCTTACAGTTGCTGTCCCTCTTAGCAACAGAAATTAGGGGCTCCATTGTAAGTTCAGCACTACTTGTACTTCAGCTCCCCTTTCCATTATAGCAGACATCTTGCAGCTTCATTCCCCCCCCCCCCACTCCCGTTTTCCTATCATCATCCTGCACGGCTCTTCTGCTGACCTTGTTTGCTGCTGGAGTTGTCTGCCTGACTTTCGTTGCCAGTTTGGGCCGAGGGAAGGAAGGAGTGGAGGAATCAAAGTGTGTGCTGCGTACACACTGACTTTTGGCAGCTGGGCCCAACCACAAGGGAAGCCCTGCCAAAATCTGCATCAGAGCAGTTCCCTCTTGGCTGCCGGAGGGCTGCGAAACAATGGGGATACTTTTATCTTCCCGGGGTTGTACGGCGCGGGGGCTTGGCGAAGCCCAAAACAAAACAAAAGGGGGAGAAAAAAAAATATATCTTCGGCCCTGGATGGTACCGTGCAAAGGTCTTCCAAAAAAAAAAAAAAAAAGCCAGCCTCCCTGACCTTTCTTCCGGAACGGTCAACGGGTGACCGCACGGGAACAAGGAAGTCTTCCATTTTCTCGGTGGAAAACTCACGAGTCGCTGGAACTGCAGGCTGAAGGCTTTAGCTTCGTGCCAGGCAATCACTAAAGCATCAGGTTGGGTTTCAAAAATTAAAATAATAAAAATAAAGAAAAACCAGGAAGGGAGGGAGGGAGGGAGAGAGGGAGGGAGGAAACGAGTCCTTAGCATTCTGCCTAATGGAGAGAGAGAGCTTTAAACTTTCACTTCTTTGAAATTTCATTATCACCACCACCCGGTGTGATTAGATCCCCTGGAGGCCCAAGGAAGAAGACCTTTTCCCCAATGCTAATGGGTGAGACGGGAAGACTTAAACCTGAGCACCCAGCAGGCCACAGCGCCCTGACTTAACACTCCCATCCTTCCGCATCTGACATTTCATTTACTGTATATAAAAAAAGTAATCTTGTCATTCATATCCGATGTAATGCATCTTTTATGCTAATATCAGAAAGGCTGAGGGAGTCAGCCGCTGCAGTTGGGAAAACATCACCTGAACCTTCACAAATTAACAAAGCCAGCTGGCTGACTTTCGGGCCAGTCTCTCTCTCTCTCTCTCTCTTCTCTTTCTCTCTTTCCTCTAACTTTCTCTCTCTCTTTCCTCTTTCTCTCTTTCCTCTCTCTCTCTCTCCTCTTTCTCTCTTTCCTCTAACTTTCTCTCTCTCTTTCCTCTTTCTCTCTTTCCTCTCTCTCTCTCTCCTCTTTCTCTCTTTCCTCTAACTTTCTCTCTCTCTTTCTCTGTCTCTCTCTCTTTCTCTCTCTTTCCTCTTTCTCTTTCCTCTCTCTCTCTCTTCCGCTTTCCCTCTTTCCTCTAACTTTCTCTCTTTCTCTTTCTCTGTCTCTCTCTCTTTCTCTCTCTTTCCTCTTTCTCTTTCCTCTCTCTCTCTCTTCTCTTTCCTCTTTCTCTTTCCTCTAACTTTCTCTCTCTTTCTCTGTCTCTCTTTCTCTGTCTCTCTCTCTTTCCTCTCTTTCTCTTCTCTTTCCTCTTTCTCTCTTTCCTCTAACTTTCTCTCTTTCTCTGTCTCTCTCTCTTTCCTTTCTCTCTTTCCTCTCTCTCTCTTCCTCTTTCCTTTCCTCTAACTTTCTCTCTCTTTCTCTGTCTCTGTCTCTCTTTCCTCTCTCTCTTCTCTTTCCTCTTTCTCTTTCCTCTAACTTTCTCTCTCTCTCTCTCTTTCTCTGTCTCTCTCTCCTCTCTCTCTCTTCCTCTTTCCTTTCTCTCTTTCTCTTTCCTCTAACTTTCTCTCTTTCCTCTAACTTTCTCTCTCTTTCTCTCTTTCCTTTCTCTTCCTCTTCCTCTTTCCTTTCTCTTTCCTCTAACTTTCTCTCTCTCTCTCTCTTTCCTTTCTCTCTCTTTCCTTTCTCTCTCTTTCTCTTCCTCTTTCTCTCTTTCCTCTAACTCTCTCTCTCTCTCTTTCTTTCCTCTTTCTCTCTCTCTTTCTCTGTCTCTCACTCTTTCCTCTCTCTCTCTCTCATCCCACCCACTCCACAGGGTTGTTGTTATGGGGTACATCGGAGGAGGAAGGTGTGTGGAATGTGTTCGCCACCTTGAGTTATTTGCAAAAATAATCAAGGCGGGATACAAGCAAATAAATAAGGTTCCAAGTCCACTCCAAACTTAACCGTTTTAATTTCATGGATCCCAATGGTGATTACTGGACTTCTGAACAGAGACACCTGCAACTGGGCACCCCTGTACTGAATATTCTCCAGTGTTTCTTGAATTCTGAAAGTGAGAGGAAAAATAAATCCGTCTAAACTCTCAGGGGGGGCTACTATGTGGGTCTCACACTTTCACTAAGCCAGGGGTAGGCAACCTTGGCTCTTTTATGCCTCGTGGACTTCAACTCCCAGAATTCCTGAGCCAGCATGGAATTCTGGGAGTTGAAGTCCACGAGTCATAAAAGAGCCAAGGTTGCCTACCCCTGCACTAAGCCATAATTGTGATGCAATCTGTTCAATTTTAGCTTAGCAACCCAAGTATACAGAATAGAGAATCAAAGACTCGGAAGGGACTTCGGAGGTCTTCTAGTCCAACCCCCTGATCAAATGGTTTTAGACAAATGGTTGTCCAGTCTCTTCTTACACACCTCC